GTTGTAATCAGTAATCGGTAATCAAACTTCTGCGCAAGCGCTCGGCATGTTGACTATCCAGGATAATAAATTTGATTATCTAGATATACTAAACGGGAATATATAATATTTCAGGAAGATAATATTTCTAACTATACAGATAATAAATTTGATTATATATTTTTTAACTATCTACTTTTAACTATCAATTTTTCTCCGTGTGAAATTTTGGAATATTTTCAGGGAATATTCTGGGAATATTCCCTTAATATTCATTCAACATTACCTTGGAATATTCCATTAATATGACGGTGGAACATTGCCTCAACATCATCCTGGAATATTACTTCGAAATTACCGTGGAACATTCTCTCAATGTTATTTTTGGAATATTTCTGTGGGGCGGACATTTTAATATTACTTTAAGATCCCTAGAATATTCCGAATATGAAATGTAATATTCCCTTCATTTTAAGGTTATATTCCGTGCTGCTTGGGTATAAGCAAAACCAAAATTTCGTCGGTTCATAGAGCCATGGAACGCCCCATATAGCATTTTAAGATGATTCACATTGTGAACAAGTTAAAACCTACGATATTGGCTGGTTTTAATAAAAAATTTAGGGGAAAATGGGTCAAAAGTACAAAAAGATGGGAAAATATTATTTTTGAAATATCTTTTTTATTTTTTGTGCAGGGGAGCGTGGGGTAATGTGAGCTTTTAAATTTCACGTACTTAAAAGCCTTAAAATTCGCTGCAATGTCTAGAAAATCTTCTACAACCTTTGTTTATATCATTCTAAAACAAACGATTACATTCTTGACAAATTTTTAGTAAAGACAAGGGAAAATGTATTTTTTTAGTTTTCGTTGTAAAATGCAAAATATTTCTAAACATCACCATAAGTAGTTAAAATCGTATTATTTAGTTATGCTTTTTCATTATATTATAGGTGAATATGTGTAGATATGTATACTTGTATAAAAATCGAGATAATAATAAAATTTGTTAATATTTTAATTTTTTTATTCAAATTTTGGCCTGTAATAATTCTGTGGGGTAATGGGAGAATTAGTGTCGGCCCAAAGAATCTTCGTTACTATGTTAGGGCTTTCGTTATTTCTTTCAAAATTGTAAAAGATATGAATATTTCCAGGGAATATTCTGGGAATATTCCCTTAATATTCATTCAACATTACCTTGGAATATTCCATTAATATTAACGGTGGAATATTGCCTCAACATCATCCTGGAATATTACTTCGAAATTACCGTGGAACATTCCCTCAATGTTATTTTGGAATATTCCTGTGGGGCGGACATTTTAATATTACTTTAAGATCCCTGGAACATTCCACTAGAATATTCCGAATATGAAATGTAATATTCCCTTCATTTCGATGGGTTAGTCGAAAAAAAGGACACCTCGAATTTTGGTTGAAAAAGAGGACACCTCGCATTTTAGTTGAAAAAAAGGACACGTCGAAAATATTCATTTTACATCAACTTTCGTTTGGCGATACTAGTAGTGATGCATTACGAGCGAATATCGAGAATCTCGCGAAAAATACAATGAAAACAATTGAATGTTACAGTTTCATCTCTTTCCTTTTATGAAAGGACAAAGTCTCGTTGTGCATCACTAGGCGATACTATGTGTAATGTAATTGTTTTTTGTAATAGAAGATTTAAGAACATATTATCTTCATAGTTTTTTGAGCACAAAATATCATAAGTCAATTACTTTACACATATCGTTCACTCCAAGTGGAATGTACGTATGTTTAAAGAACATTTTAGAAGTTACGTATCTTCCACGTTCAGTGAAGAAACCACGTATCTTTCTGTTCCGTGCAAAAACTACGTATCTCTGTCAGTCACTTTAGAAGATCTACATTTTATTATTATTATTATTTTTTTTATTATTATTATTATTATTTTGAAGTTAATATTTTGTTATGAAGTAATAATTTTTTCAAAAGTTGATGCAATAAAATATATATTTTTTAAAATAATTTAATTTTTTTTCTTAAAAATATTAGAATATTATTAGAAGTTTTTAAAGCGACTGACAGAGATACGTAGTTTTTGCACGGAACAGAAAGATACGTGGTTTCTTCACTGAACCTGGAAGATACGTAACTTCTAAAATGTTCTTTAAACATACGTACATTCCACTTGCAGAAAACGATATTATCGTCAAACAAAAATGCATTTAAAATTAATATTTTCGAGGTGTCCTTTTCTTCAACTAAAAAGCGAGGTGTCCTCATTTTGAACCAAAATTCGAGGTGTCCTTTTTGTCCACTAACCCAGAGATAAAATTATTCCATTTAATTGACTTAAGTAATTTGTATTTGGTTCAAATAATTATTTATTTGATACCATAAATTAAAATATTTGCGTCCAGTAAATATTTACTTAGTTCAAATAAATAAAAATAAATAAGTAAAAACAAATAAGTTTAAATACAACCGAACGAGCGTTAGTGAGTGAGGTATATGTCGCTAGTTTTTAATAAAACAGAAAGTAACAAGTTTTTCGAGGTCGCTGATTACGAATATGATATCAAATTTGAATTTTGACAGTTGACAGCTGTCAAAGAAACTGTCAACTTTTCTAAATAAGAACAAATTATCGTCTTTGGTATTTTAATTTGTATGATACCAAAAAATCAGTTTTTTTTGTATTTGCACTCTTGTTTCTCTTGACTTTAAACAAACTTTTAAAAAACTTCTAAACAAATTATAACTTTTTGGTTTTCACCATCTTAAAGAGCGTTTCAGACTCTATCTGAATCAACAAAAAAGTGAAAAATTATTTTTTTTACACGTAAGGTCCCTTTTTATAGACCAGGTCACATATTGTATTATACAAAAAAAGAATTTTTTCATGAAAATCGGTTCAGCCATTTAGAAGGAAATCAATTTTTTTTTCAATTTTTCAAACAAATTGTTTAACTCAAAAACAAATTTTTTTTCGAGTTGAAACTTGGTGAAAATAAGTTTCATAATAAGTCAAAATTATTCCCTAAATATGGAGCCAATCCAGGAGGGGGAACTTTTTACATGCTTATATACTGCTGCGGCCTTTATATAGTTTGAATTACAACGAAAAATTCGGTTTTCTTCGCAGTTAACACATAGTATATGAATAATATGATTTTCTGATTATACCCAATGGGAAATTTACAACTGGCGGAGTACTGCGCCAGCACTGGCAGTACTGGCATAACTCTGGGATGATAACGCTGTCTAACGCTGGCGAAGTACTGCCTGCCAGTGCTGCCAGACAGTATTGCCGCAATAAATGCCGTATTGTTATTAATTAGTCGTAAATTAATAATTATAAATAATTCAACAACAAAATGGTAAATAATATTAATAAATAGTTATTATTCATAAAATACTTCTCTTCTTAAAGAAATTGTATTAAAGTTGGAGACTAACAATGGATATAGTTAATTAAGTAGAAAAAAATTGTTTATAACATTTAAAAATTAAATAATAGACAATTACAATAAGTGTGCATTAGATTTTTATATTTTACTACCTAAAGATTGGAATCTAGAAATATCGCAAACCTATGAAAATAAACAAAATTGCTGACGAGGGGAACCGAACCTACGACCTACGGACTAACGGACTAACGCTCTAACCACTATGCTAACGACACATGTGTACAGAAAAGTATTAATATCTCAGTATCATTCAGACATACAATTATTGAGTCAAAGATGAGAAAAAAATAGGGATACGTTAGAAATAATAAAATGAAATAAAATAAAATAAACTAAATTTTTAAAAATTAAATTACTTTACTTATTATTGTATTTAACATTTTACGTAATTCTTAAATTACGTGGTAATTTTTTAATAATTTTTTATTCATAGTAAGAAGTATAATATAGTATTTTAATATGATCCAAATTATTATTGAGATTAAAGTTTAAATTTTGTTTACAATTTTAATTTGTTTAAATAATTTATTATTTACAAAATTAGACAATTATGTTAAATTGTTATTATTAAATTTAATAAAAATAAAAAATGAACAACTGAAAAGTAAAATATTAATTTTTTTCAATAAATTTATATTTAATTTATATTTATAAACATTCATAAACTTTTTTATAATTTTTTTCAAGTTTATGTCAAAAAAGCAATGTTGGCAAAGAGCGTCGTGAACAATTTTTCTATACTCAGCCAGCACTTGCCGCCGTGGCTTGTCCAAGCTTTGGCGAAACAAAAATTCTGTACTGCGCCAGCACTAATTGTCGAGGCTCGGCTAGACTACTCCGAACAATCGTCTGAGTACTAAGCCAGTGGTGAACATCGGCACTACACTGGCATTTCCCATTGGGTAGGGGAAACCGAGGTGAGTTGAAACGATTTTTACATTATCCAGTAGGGGAGAGTGGGGCAAAATGGGGTAGGCGGGTCAAATGGGGTACCTCTGTTTTTCCATGATAGGTACTTTTAATTTTTTTATCCTTGATATATATTATTCATATTGATAAGAAACAGTTATTATTTATGAAGACACTACAAAGAAAATTTTTTTTTAAAGTTATATAACTTTAAAGTTTTAAGCAAAAAAATATGAATATTTGTTAAAATTAAAGTGCTTACAAAATTTTTTGGGATAATGCATTTAATTTGGCAAGTGTGGGATATTTTTCAGCACTTATTCTAGAGTAATTTCCAATAGAATATACCCTTGGTTCTACAGCGTCCGCCGAGCGAGGCATTTATCCGACTGAGCTAATCTGTCGGTCGAAGTTAAATAATTGTATACTCCCGTGTAGAAATTTAACCATGGCCCAAATCGGGGCCAGATCTTATGATCATTGTGTAGGCCATAACATGGCATGAAACACCTTCCCAGATCGGGCCCAAGTCTGGCCAGACTTGGGCCCGATCTGGGAAGATGTTTCATGCCATGTTATGGCCTAGATATGGCAATTTCTACACGGGCTATGTTTATTTTAAATAATAGAAGTCCTGTAATATTTTATAAGGTACCTAAGGAACCATCTCTGGACAACTTTGGGATTTATCAATATGATGGCGATGTTTTTATTGCACTTAAAGGTCATTTTCATGGAGAACCATATGTAACGTATCCAGTTTTCCTTGTCAAAACCAGTAATAATAAAGAAATAAATATTGGAAATATATCAGAAAATAATTTGGCATTTGAGTATTATATTAATGAAACGGTTGAACCCACATACTATTTCAAAATTAAGGCTTGTAACGAAGCAGGATGTTCTGATCCTTTAAAAACCAAAGAATTTGTAATTAATTATGAAGAAGGTGCGAATCCTTCTTGAAATAAGTACAGTGCCGCTCAATAACTTTTGCCCACCCTTCAGCGATTGAAGGCTTTACAAAAAGTTTTGTATTTTGTTTATTATTAAAGATAAAAAGCTCAAAAAGGTCTCTTTCTAAAGCTCTTTTCCTGAGCTTTAACACTGTATCCCAGGAGGAAAAGTCGGACGAATGTCGGATTATACAACCGCCTGGGATCCGCGCCCGTACGGACCGCCAGCACCGATGGTCTGTACCGATTCGGATCCTAAAATGCAACCGGCGCGGAACAGATTAGGCTCCGACTTTTGGATCCGCCTTTCTACTTTCGTCAGTACTGGCGCGGTACTGGATTTGTTCCGCCTGCAGATTTCATTCTTCTACGCGCGTCGGAAGAATGACGGATGTTAGGTCTGTACTGGCTCGGTGCTGGGCCGGATCCGACTGCGGATCTCGTCATTTATTGTTATAGTTTACATTATCAGTATAATCATAAATTTATTTTATTATTATAATTAATTATTACAATAACTAATTGCATTTATTATAATATTATTATTAGTTAACCAATAAATAAATTAATAGTATTCATGCAAAGGAAGAATATAAGAAACTTAATTTTTTCATTATATATATAAAAATCCAACTTTATTATTGTGCAATTAAATAAATAATTTTTAATAAATAATATATTAATTTGAAAGAAGTAAAATATATTTAACTTGAAAGAAAATGTAATCAATATATTATAATGCCTACAATAAATAACATATTAAATACAATATATAAAAAAGAGATTATTATTAATTAATTTATTATTAATTAATTAATAATCTCTTTTTAATTTAAACAATATATTAAGTAATTATTTATTGACACTTTTCTGCAAATTAAATAATTAAAAAAATGTGTTGTGCATTAAAATTTTATTCAATTTAATACTATTACTTATATGTTATAAATTGTTTTGCAGTGAAGTTATGTTCATATTATTCGATATATTATGTAATAAAATATTAAAAAACATAATAATAAAAATATAACATTTTTTTTAAACGAAATATTGAAATATTCATAAATACACATTCAGTAAAGTATTGAAAATATACCGGTATTACAACAGTTCGTATTTCCAAATTGCCTATTGCCGCGTAGTAATTTTACAATGTTCATTTTAGCTAGTGAGACTTGAAAGCATTTAAGGTTTGAGAGTTCCATGCGAGCGTAGCATAGTGGTTAGCGTGCGTGATTTCGGTTCGTAAATATTCGGTTAGGCGTAGGTTCGTACCCCCAAGCGTTAGGATTTTTCAAATGTGAATATAAAAAAATACCGTTAAGTGTATAAAAAAATGTGTGAAGTGAACTATCAATGAATTGTTATCAGTATTTATCTTTTGCAATTACTTATTATTTTTTTATTGATATTTGTTGAAATTATCATTTTGATCCGAGCCGGTTGTCAGGCGGTAGAATGCCAGCATTGCCAGCGCACATCTGGCTAGGAAATGAAAGATCCGCAGTCGGTACAGTGCCGGGTCCCAGCCGGTTGAATTACCCAGTGAGAAATTGCCAATAGACTTTAATCGGTCCAATATCGGTCCAATATTGGTTGCCGTGCTGGGCGCCGATTGACTCCCAATATTGGACCAATATGGGCTGATGCTTGGGATGTAACGGCATCGCCAATCATCGGTTGTCAATATTGGTCCAATATTGGCCAAATATTGGCAACCAAGAGAAAAAAATTTTTTTAAATAAATTTTTTTTAATTAAATAATAATAATAAAAAATTAATGTTTATAATTTTTGTTTAATATATTTATTTGTTTAATTATTTATTTTTAATAATTCATGTAAATAATAAATAATTTATTATTTATAAATTATAATTATTTAAAAATGCAGCAGCTATTAGAAAATAGCATTCTGCAAAAAAATTCTATCATTGAAAAATCAATGATAGGCGAGAGAAATCCGCGTCTTTAAATAGATTCGCAGATGATAGACAAGAGATATATCCGCGTCATTAAACGGATTCGCAGATATACTCTGGTCTCGCGACGAATCTCTCGATACTTATATACACTGGAGTCGCCGTGTCAGTTGCGAGAACGGTTACAGCGTCCCTCTTGCGGCAGAGATAAGAATTGTCACGTAAACTGCGGGTATAATAAGGCGGTCGGTAAAGCGATTTAGCAGTTTACGTGACAATTCTTATCTCTGCCGCAAGAGGGACGCTGTAACCGTTCTCGCAACTGACACGGCGACTCCAGTGTATATAAGTATCGAGAGATTCGTCGCGAGACCAGAGTATATCTGCGAATCCGTTTAATGACGCGGATATCTCTTGTCTATCATCTGCGAATCTATTTAAAGACGCGGATTTCTCTCGCCTATCATTGATTTTTCAATGATAGAATTTTTTTGCAGAATGCTATTTTCTAATAGTTGCTGCATTTTTAAATAATTATAATTTATAAATAATAAATTATTTATTATTTACATGAATTATTAAAAATAAATAATTAAACAAATAAATATATTAAACAAAAAATATAAACATTAATTTTTTATTATTATTATTTAATTAAAAAAAATTTATTTAAAAAAATTTTTTTCTCTTGGTTGCCAATATTCGGCCAATATTGGACCAATATTGACAACCGATGATTGGCGATGCCGTTACATCCCAAGCATCAGCCCATATTGGTCCAATATTGGGAGCCTTTATTGGACCGATGATCGGTCTCTTGGCTCCCAATATTGGACCGATATTGGACCGGTGAGAAATTTCTCACTGGGTATACACGGAACGGCTCTTCGCGGCCGGTTACCGGGCGGTAGAATGCCAGTTCCGAGACGGATGGCCAGCCAGCTCCTGGCCAAGTCATCTTTTGGTAGAATACCAGTTCTCGGGCGGTAGGCAGGCGGTTCCCAGCCAGTACCACTACTCCGGCGACGGTACAGGCGAGGATCCGCGCCGGTTGGAAATTTCCCAACTGGGATAAAACGAAAATTAAAAAAATTAATTTGTTAATGTTTAAAAAATGTTATTGCAACATAAAATTTTTCGTTCTTTTTAAAGTGATACAGTTTCATAGGAAATGGTCGCATATTAATCAAACACATATTTTCTAAAAGCTAGTTTTATCACCTTTAAAATGCATGTTTTAAAATTTTTATACGATAATTTTTAAGAAAAATATGATTTTTTGTTTAAAAAATTAGCCATTTTTTTCAATTGTTGATAACTCAAAAACGGTTACTTTAGGAAAAAAATTTTAAGGGCATAAATTGTTCCTTTTTGTGTGCAGAATTAGAAAAAAAATATTAAAAATTTTTTTTTAAAACAATTTTTTTGACTTTTTTTGAAAAAAATTTTTTTCTTTCGTTTTTTATATTTTTATGTTTTAATTGTAGAAACTCGCTTTTTACACTCACTTGTGACAATTTTCGCAAGACTGAAATTATGATGACAATCGTCAAAGTAATTAAGAACCTTTAATCCGTTTATAAACAATATAATAAATAAGTATTATATCAAAAGTTATTTAAATGATTGGTGAGTTAAAATTATTGAAAAAAATTAAATAAATACGATGAAAAATTTTCTTGCTTGTTGTGGTAAGTGTAAAAAGCGAGTTTCTACAATTAAAACATCCCAAGCAGCACGTAAGCTTATCTTGACATCACTGTAATATTACATTGGAGATTCGTCATATTACACTTTAATATTACAGTGATCTTACTGGGATATCAAAATGTCCGCCTGGAGGTAATACTACGTTGTTATATTAAGAGAATGTTACCTGGTAATATTAAGGTAATATTACACTGTAATATTAACGTAATGTTAAGGTAATATTCAGATAAAATTAGAATAATTTTATAATTTTGAAAAAAACATTTCACAAAGCTGGACTTGAACCCTGAACCTTGTGCACAGTAATCAAGAGTCTTACCACTGAGCCAAACGTACTTATAGTGTATTAAGATTTTTGATGAAATATGAAGAACTTTAAAAAACTTACAAAGATTATATACCGTCGAGAATCTTAATACACTACACGGAAAAAAAAGTTCCCAGATGTTTCAGGAATTATTTCCTAACTCTTGGATACGTGGTAACAGCTCTGAACTAGCGACGAACATTCAATGGTAATCAATGAATGTTTGAAAGAAATTCGGGAACTGTATTAGAAAAAGCTATAAATAGTCCATTAGTCTCTTTTTCATTACTTTCTCATGTAAAGTTCATGGCGCTGGCCGCAACTGTTTCTGAAATTTTCGGGAACTCGTCAAGGAATCTTGGTGCGCAGAAACTGTGCGCACCAGTCTCAACAAGTCTCACCGTCAGTAAGACTTGCGTGCCTTATATATTTACTTTATGCTGAGGTATTTAACTCGCCTGTTTAGCTCAGCTGGATAAGACGCCGGACTTCTATTCTCGGGTACGCGAGTTCTGTTCCAGCCGCCGTCGATTTTTCTCTAATACGGTTTTTTCTATTTCAGAAACTTAATAAAAAATAAAAATTGTATGTGACCTTCAAGGATAAATGTGTGTGTGTGTGTGCGGACGTGTCAAGGAGGGGAAGTGGAAGGGGGGAAGCAGAATCCATTTTTTCTTGCATTCGCCTAACTTTTCGATTTTCTTGAACAGTTCCCGACTTTTTCAAGAACATGATTACATGATTACTATGCACATGGTTCAGGGTTCGAGTCCAGCTTTGTGAAATGTTTTTTTCAAAATTATAAAATTATTCTAATTTTATCTGAATATTACCTTAACATTACGTTAATATTACAGTGTAATATTACCTTAATATTACCAGGTAACATTCTCTTAATATAACAACGTAGTATTACCTCCAGGCGGACATTTTGATATCCCAGTAAGATCACTGTAATATTAAAGTGTAATATGACGAATCTCCAATGTAATATTACAGTGATGTCAAGATAGGCTTACGTGCTGCTTGGGATAAAAATATAAAAAATGAAAAAAAAAAATTTTAAATATTTTTTTTCTAATTCTGCATAGAAAAAGGAACAATTTATGTTCTTAAAAATTTTTTCCTAAAGTAACCGTTTTTGAGTTATCAACAATTGAAAAAAAAATTGCGAGTACAACTCGCACTGCAATGGCGGGTTCCGTACACAAATATTAAAAGAATACTTGCAACACTTAACGGTAATTGGTAGAATTAAAATAAGCAATTAAAAAAATACATTAAAATCATTTAATAAAATAGAATAACTAAAAAAATTAAAGTATTGTATATATCTAATATTGTAAACAATAATAAGCAGAGGAACAAAATTTTCAAAATTATAGTTCCTCTGCTTATTATTGTTTACAATATTAGATATACAATACTTTAATTTTTTTTAGTTAATTTTTTTTATCAAATGATTTTAATATATTTTTTTAATTGTTTATTTTAATTCTACCAATTACCGATCAATGTTGCAAGTATTGTTTTAATATTTGTGTACGGAACCCGGCATTGCAGTGCGAGTACAACTCGCACTTGTCCAATTTTTTTTTATTTTTAGTTAAGAAATTAAAGTCAGAAAACAATCTCTCATTTATTCTCTTAAAATTTCACTCTTTCTTAAAATATTTAATGCCACGTGTTTAAACTAAAAAAAATTAAAAAATTTTTTTTTTTTAAATTAAAAAAATTTTTTTTTTATTTTTTTTCAAAAAGTTTCTTAAATAAATTTTTTGTCGTCAGACTGTAATAATACATTAGGATACCAATTTTCAGCTCATTAGGTCAAATAATGTAAAAGTTAGGGAAAAAAAAATTTTTTTTTAATTTTTTAGTATTTTCTTGACTATAGCCATCATTAGGGGAGAGTCTCCAGTTGTGAGACACCTCCAGTTGTGAAACAGTCAATTTTTTTAACATGCAATATTAAAAAGCCGATTGGTTTATATAAAAACATTTCTTTTTATATGAGCCAACTTTTTCGTGTACGCCGAAGCGGATATATAAACTGTTTTTGTTAAATACCAACACTGTGTGTGATAATCGACTAAAAAGCGTTTTCTCAATAAATGCAAAGTACTTTTTTTCCAAGTTAATTAATTGGAAAAGGTAAATGTAATGCATTTTCTTTTAGTGTTTTCCTTATATTTTGTGATGCAATATTGCATTGTTTCAATCTACGGTTGAAAATAATTTAATTTTCCTTTTTCAAAATAGCGCATATCACCAGTTGTGAGACGGTGTCAACACCCATCTGGGCAGCATAAAAAATACGACTTTGCAGGCATACTATTTAAATGTTGTTTTCATTTTTTTTCTAGTATTTTTGGGCATGTCAAGTGGAAAAAAGTCAATTGATTCAGAAGAAATCAATTTTAATGCTCTTGTTGAAGCTATTAAATTGTGTTTATTTGATAGTCATATTTTGGCGAATAAATATTATTATTTAGTATATAATAATATATATTATTAATATATTTAATTATTTCTACTAAACATAACGTTTTATGTCAAACTTATTAAATTTTAGCAATTTTTAATGAGTGTCTCACAACTGGAGACATTTTTTTTTTTTTGACAAAAGCGATGTGCTCGGAAAATGTATCGAAAAATTTTTTGAGTTCATCGATACACTACACTTTCTTTTAATAAAAGTTGCGTATTTCTGTTACCTTTCGAACGGTGTATTTTATTTACAATTTCGTTTACCCGTTTACAATTTACGGGTCAAAAATAAAACCCGTCTCACAACTGGAGACTCTCCCCTACATATTGAGTTCTCTATATTTTTCCAGTAATATTCGAGTAAAAATACACCAGCATGCAAAATTTCAGCTCTCCATGTCGAATAGTTTAGAAGTTAAGGGGGGGAAGGGTCACTTTTTATGCATTTTTGGCCAAAAATCTTGTTATTTCCTTGACAACGCTATACCTATCACGTCCAATCACATTCGCTATATTTTTCCTGTAATCTACGAGTGAAAATACATATCTGGACCAAATTTGAGCTCTTCAGGTCAAATAGTTTAGCCGCTAGGGGGGGACACGATTTAGCTACGGACACAAGAGTCTCACCAATAGGGTTCCGCCGTTACACCGTAGGTGTACGGAACCCTAAAAATGGCTAATTTTTTAAACAAAAAATCATATTTTTCTTAAAAATTATCGTATAAAAATTTTAAAACATGCATTTTAAAGGTGATAAAACTAGCTTTTAGAAAATATGTGTTTGATTAATATGCGACCATTTCCTATGAAACTGTATCACTTTAAAAAGAACGAAAAATTTTATGTTGCAATAACATTTTTTAAACATTAACAAATTAATTTTTTTAATTTTCGTTTTATACAGTGTTAAAGCTCAGGAAAAGAGCTTTAGAAAGAGACCTTTTTGAGCTTTTTATCTTTAATAATAAACAAAATACAAAACTTTTTGTAAAGCCTTCAGTCGCTGTAGGGTGGGCAAAAGTTATTGAGCGGCACTGTATATATATATTCATATTTATAAAAAGTTCAAAAGAATGATTTTGTAAAATTGATCATTTTCGTCATACGTGAAAGAAAGTAATCACACTTTCTTCCACCCATGACGAAAATTATCATATCAATGACTATAGGATAATATGTATAAGTGCAATGATTATTATTACACCGTTTGAGCTGAATTATTATATAAAATTAATCAATTTTCTATAATTCAGCTCAAACGGTGTAATAATAATCGTTGCACTTACATATTATGCTATAGTCAGACTTTTTTGGATCCAGTATAAGTATTTAAAAGTTTATATTTTCTTTAATGAACGTATTTAAATCCTAATAGAACTGCCTGCATCACTAAAGGGTGATATTAGACAGAAAAGTGCTACGAATGATACGTGCATTATAGAATGGAATTCACCAGAAACTTTTGGAAGTCTCATTAAATATGATATGACTATGTATAATAAAAGCAATAATGTTTTATGGAATGGATCATTACTTGTTCCACACGAAGTTGTAAGTAGTCATAAATTTCAGCATCTTCAACCTCAAAACACTTATGATATTCAACTTTATCGACAAAATAACCGAGGTTTATCTACACATCCAATCAAAGGATCATGCACGACAACACCATAGGTATGCATTTAATCTTTTGTTATTCTTTTTAAAAATCAAGAATCTCTAAATTTAATGTGCTTCTCATTTAAATATTGCCCAGGCAGAAAAGTTGGAGATGTGCCAGCACTAACGACCGGCATGGTACCGAACCGGTTGTAAAGACGGACTTATGCCGGTACCGGCAAAAAGGTACCGGACCGGATATGAAATAAATACCGGCCCAGTACCGGCCCGGTGGTAAATGTGGATTTGTACCAGTACTGGTAGTGTGTACCGGGCCGGTTGATAAAAAATATCTGGCCCAGCACCAGCCCGGTACTGTCATTTCGCTCTGTTTTATACCGCCGGAGGAGATTTGCCGGTGATAATATATTTACCGGCGTAGCACCGGCCCGAAACTGTCATTTCGCTCTGTTTTATACCGCTGAAGGAGATTTGCCGGTTATAAATTTTTACCGGCCCAACACCGGCGTAGCACTGGCCCGAAACTGTCATTTCGCTCTGTTTTATACCGCCGGAGGAGATTTGCCGGTGATAATATATTTACCGGCCCAGCACCGGCCCGGTACTGTCATTTCGCTCTGTTTTATACCGCCGAAGGAGATTTGCCGGTGATAATATTTGTACCGTCCCAGCGCCGGCCCGATACTACTATTTGGTTTTGTTTTTATACGGACGAAGGAGATTTGCCGGTGATAATATTTGTACCGGACCAGCACCGGCCCGGTACCACCATTTGGTTTTGTTTTTATACGGACGAAGGAGATTTTCCGGTGATAATATTTGTGCCGGCCCAGCACCGGCCCAGCACAAAAATTTACTTAATACTTTCTACTGGCACAGAAGTTTTGCCGACAAAAATATTATTACTGGCCCAGTGTCGTCCCGGTTGTTTGCTAATGTTAAACTAGCAGAAAGAGAATTAAAGAAGAGGAAAAAAAATTCAAAAATAAATTTATTAATTAATTTAATAATTTAATTATTAATAATAAATTAATTAGTTAGTTATGCCGGCAATTATATTAATACCGAGTAGGTTGCTTATTGGTGCCGGCCCGGTACTGCTGCCAGGTGGAATGTCGGTTGGACTTTATAAGCTCACTTTGCATTTACTTTCCATATGCAGGTTTAGGTTAGCGGATGTGGTGTCGACTTTGCAGCCTCAGGGTCCTGAGTTCAATTCCTCGAGTCTTCAGATTTTTCTATAATTGTTTATGTCTCTGTTTCAGCATTTAATATATTTACTGTTTCCAATTTAAAATTAATAATAACATTGATAATAATAATAATAATTAAACAATTAATCAGACTGAAATATAATTTTTTTAACCGGCCCGGTACCACACCGGTTGTTTTTTAGTGCCGGCCCGGTACTGCGTCAGATATTTATTAGTGCCGGCCCGGTACGGTTGCCGGATACCTACCGAAGTTATCATCCGGCAATTTACCGGTACTGCGCCGGTGGAATGAACAGATTTATGCCGGTACTGGACCAGTACCTAGCCGGTTGTGCAGCCGGTAATAAACCGGCACTAAATGCCTTCCAACAATAACCGGGCTAGTACCGCCCCGGTGGACAATTCGGTACCGGCCCGGTACCATCCCGGTCGTCAATTTCTACCTGGGTGCATTCAGACAATTCCAGTAAAATTTTGTTAATAATTGTCACTTTATTTAAAGCAATTTCTTTAGAATTAGTACGAGAGTACATGAACTTTTAAAAATTCCATACCTTTTCTATAATTTCCAGATGATGTAGGAAATAATTATATTTAGTTTTGTAGTTACGTAAATAATGCATAAAATTCATAGGAATTAAAATACAATATTTAATAAAAATTTGATAAGAATTATATGTGTTATTCTTATTTTTATTCAGGTTTATAAACCGAAAATAAAGTGAACGTGAAAATAGCAAAAAAGAAACACGTATTACTTAATTTTTATATGAAAGTTTTCATAAAACAAAATGCATTTTAAAATTTTGAGAAAATTTCTATCACCAAGCTTAAAAAGCAGATGGATCTATTTTATAAAATAATGTTGTTAAAACATTAAAATTGAATGCAATAAAAGTAATATAAACAGTAGAAAGATGTTTTATTTCATCAAAGTAAAAGTAAATAATCCTGTGCAGAAATTGACGCACTTCCCAGTAAGAAGCGAAGAATTGAAAATAATTCAGAAGTTAATTTCTTTTGAATAGGCGAATTTCCAAAATAATCCAATTCCCCAGTGCACAGTGGTCTAGGAACATTTATTTTTGGCCAAAATTCATCATTCTCAAAAAATAAAAAATTTAAGGCAGTCAAGTATGAAATTCACTGTTTTTGGGATAGCTGATTACGAATGTGAAGTCAGATTTAAAAAATTTTAAATATCGGATCCAATATGGCGAACATAAAAGTAAAATAATTAATGGATTTTAATAAAACTACATATATTCAAGGGTTTTCAGGGTCGCTGATTACGAATATGAAATCAGATTTTAACTCTCTGCTCATGCTAATGACCGTTATCGTCAAAAATCGTCATTCTGGACGCCTGGTGGGGACTATGGGAGTTACGTTCTTTGGCGATAGAGTGGGGATAAGTTAGCATCAGCAGACGGTTAATAATTTGAAATAGCAAATCCAATATGGCGTACATAAAAATAAAATAATTAATGAATTTTAATAAAACTTTTTGTTTAAGGGTTTTTGGGGTCGCTGATTATGAATATGAAGTTAGATTTTAAAAATTTAGAATATCGTATCCAATGTGGGATAAATTTGTTTAAATTTATGCAATTGACCCTACTTTTGTCACTCTTCTGCTTCTCAAGTGGACGCACGCACTAATACTAGTAAAGTGTCAGTGAGTGACTCTAGATCTTTCACAGCTATCTGACTGGTATTAAGGAGAGTTCAGAATAGAGTCAAAGTCGGTATGAACGCGCTGATACAACGCGCTCGTCCTATGTATTCCATATGGACGAACGCGTTAATATCAGCGCGTTCATACCGACTTCGACTCTATTCTGGACTCTCCTTTAGAAACCAGCGTACGTCAACACGCACGACCAGGGAGCGCAGATAGAAAAGTTTTAAAATTTCTCTTCTCCCATATTACATTAGCAATAACTTTAAATTTTTAAAAACTAACATCGAATTCGTCATCAGCACCCCAAAAACCCCCGAGTGACAAAATTAAGGTCAATTGCATAAAGTTAAAAATTTTTGTCCGACATATTGATTATTGATCCGACATTTTGAATTTTTGAAAACTAATATCGAATTCGTAATCAGCGGCTCCTAAAACCACCAAATATCAAAATTAAGGGCAATTGCATAAAGTTATAATTTTTGTCTTCGATATTGGATCCGCCATTTTGAATATTTGAAATCTAACATCGAATTCGTAATCAGCGATCTCAAAAAACCCCCGAATAACAAAATGTAGACGAATTTAATAACATTTTGGTATGTTGAAAAATAGTAACCAAATCGTTCAAATTTTCTTTCATATTTGGTCCGCTATCTTGAAATTTTGAATTCTAGTTTACGTTTCTTAAAAGTATACAATTTTTTTGCATATATGGTTGAGATTTAAATTTTATTTCCAAACGATTTATGGGTAAAAAAATTATGAAACTTGAAAAAATGAATTTTTTTTTTGAGTTTTTCAAAATTAAAACCGTCATATTTAATAAACGTCCACGGGGACGTTACTTATGACGCCTTGACAGGAGACAAAGTTAGCGAAGACTTAAGCAATTAGTCCTTTTGTTGAAAGCGATTTATCCTTAAGAAGTTGGTTGGCAGCTTTACCTAAATTTAATACGACCGAAACCGCTACTGTTAATATCGACGATCTTGCCCGGGTACATGATCTGCATGATATGGTGTAGATTTTTATTTTTTGAGCTATTCTAACGAAAATGTGTAAAAACCCTGTTTTTTGCTCATTTTTAAAGTCATGAAACGTCAAGAGAAAATCTTTTTTCTAATTTTGAATTGCTTCTTTTTTAATGCTCTTTTTATTTTTAATTTTGAAATGTTAAATTGACTGGTATAGTCCCTTTCGACCATGCGCTACGGGCAGTTATCCGATCCACGCCCTCAATTGTATACTATGTTTATTTTAAATAATAGAAATACTAAAATATTTTATAAGGTTACTTTTCCTGCGAAACCATCTCTGGAAAGCTTTAAGATTTTACGTTACAATGCAATGGTAATTTTTTGATTGCACTTAATAATGAAGAACCTGCAGACCCACATGTAACGTATTAAATTTACGTTGTAAAAACCAGTAAAAATAAAGAAATAAATATTGGAAATATAACATGGAAAAGTAGGCAAATAGATTATTGTAATAATGACACAGTTGGAACTGTATACTATTTCAAAATTGAGGCTTCTAACGAAGCAGGATGTTCTGATCCTTTAAAAACCTCAGAATTTGTAATTAATAATGATGAAAAAGGGGCGAATCACCCTGGAAATAAGTATATTTTTTATAAATAAAGAAAATTCTAATAGTTAACATAATTCATATTTAAAAATTTTTTTAAAAATACTTCAAAATTTCAAGTTTTTCAGGACATTTTTAAAAAAATTCGAATAAAATTGTTATTAATTTTCACTTTATTCAAAGGAATTTCAAATTTTTGCTTCCTCATAAAGGAAGCTTTGTATTAGCAAAATTTTGGATTGTCATTTTTTGACATAAATTTATAAATTTTTTCTTATTATGCCTAATACTTTAGTACTTTATATATGCACAGGAACTCCCCGTATAAATGTTCTAAATAAATAAAAAAAATTTCGACGTATTTTGACCTCCGAAGTCCAAAAAACGGATTTTAAAAATTTGTCCCGATGTGTGTGTGTACTAACATTATATTTGCCTCAATATCTCAGAACGAGAAAGAGCTAAAGGCCTCAATTTTTTTTTTAAATTGTAGGTCTCCCCGGGGGACATAAAATGAGAGTATTTTCAGCCCGATTCATGAAGTTTAACTATTTTTTTTGCATTTTTCATTTAGTAAAAAAACGTTTTTTGGACATAACTTAAAAAAATGTTAGGACACTTATAAATCTTTTTCTTTAGTTTTGTAGAGTTTTTTCACACGCATCTTTTGAGCCCTAATTGAACATTTGTCGTCCATATTAACCGGAGATATTAAACTTTTAAAAATCAAAAATTTTGGAAAATAAGACTTTTTTAAAAATTTTGTTAAAAAATGTAAAAGTTTAGTTTTGTTTTGTATTTAGTTTTGTAGAGTTTTTTCAGACGCATCTTTTGAGCCCCAATTAAACATTTTTCGTCCATATTAACCGGAGATATTAAACTTTTAAAAATCTAAAATTTTGAAAAATAAGACTTTTATAAAATTTTTTTAAATTATGTAAAAGTAACTTCAAGAAATTATTACCAACTTAAAGAGCATTAAAAAACGTTTCGATTGACCTATTTTTGAACCTGATTCGGGCAGAAGTTATGAAATTATTGGTATTTGAAAAATCAAAAATTGTGGAAAATATCATTTTTTCAACATTCTTGTTTATTAATTTATGTGTAATTATTAAACTATTATTACCATCTTATAGAATATATAAAAACACATTTTTTAGACCAAGATTTAATGATTTTTAACCCTTTTATAAAAAGTAATTCTTATATTTCAATTATTATTTTTTTTTTGAGGAATAGCAAAGTGTTCATGAAATGAACACCAAAATTATAAAAATGTACAACTTGGCAGCGGTTTTATGCAGTAGTACCTCGTACACGAATAAAAAATGAAGTTTTATTGTCTTTGCACAAAATTTAAAAGGTTTCACAAAAAGTTTAAATTTTTTAAAAAATGTGAATCCACACGGAGAAAAATGGATATTTAAGGTAAATATCTAGACGTTAAAGTTTAATATTTTTATTCTTTAACATAGGGACAGCTATCTGGGTATTAAAAGTAAATATCTGGATGTTAAAAGCGTTAATATCTAGCATGTGATTTGAATATTTAGATATTAAAGTTTAATATTTTTGATGTTAAGAGTTAATGTATTTTTTCAATATCTACTTTGTAACCAGACCTTTCTCAACAATAATAAATATCATAAACAAATAGGTATAATTTGCTAAACACGGGAATATTTATAGACAAATGAAATTTTATAAACAGAATTATAAACTCTGAAATAAATAAACAAACAACAAAAATAAATACTTACGATAAGCCAAAGATTTCTGGTCCGAACAATAATTTTGAAATTAATAATAACATTTTGACAAAATACAAAAAAAAGGAAATTTAAATAAACAAAATTGTTGAGCGCCAGTCCTTTCTTGGGACAGTGTCAAAAGAAGCGGATACTAAATATCCAAAATAAACACAATAATAGGTACTAAATACCAACAATTTATAAGTAAGAGCAAAAGCAAAATAATAGAACTAAATTCTATAAAAGACAAAAAAAAGAAAAGTTATTATTAAATTCCTTGAATTTATAAATCTCAACTTTAATATTAATTTCGATGCCGGTCGACTAGCAAAAGACGGAGGAGAGGGGATTCGAGAAAATCATATTCACAAATTTTATAATTAAATAACAATTTATTTTAACAATAAAATTATTGAAAAATAATACAATAAATTTACAATTATAAAACAAGTTTCTCAGTATCGCTAGGTCAATGAATAAATTGTGGTCACCCTATCAAAAAAAGTGACATAGTAAATGACGTTAAATTCCGTGTGAATAATTAAGTAAAAAGTGACATAAAAAACAAAGTAAAAAATGGAGTTACTAAGTACTTAAAAAATGACGTTTAAATTAACGTAATTTTTTGGGATAAAAAATGACGTCATTTTTAAGTCTTTTTTTATGTTGTTTTTTATTTAATTTCTTAATGATATTTTTAATTTTTTCTACTATTTAAAGTCTCTTTTATGTATGCGCAAATGATAAAAATATGTACTGTTGAAATTTTTTTTAATTTCAGTTTCGGATCAAACAGAAAATAAATTGATATTTTTAATTTAGTTGCAGGTAATAATTCTAAATGAAATGTAGTTTGTTAATTTAATTTCGGGTAAATCAAA